CTCAGATTCCCGACAAGATCGTCTCTCTCTACACATGTCCCGAGTGCGCTAATCGCGCCTACTATTGCATGTTCGTTTGGATATTTACGTACTACAGTGTACCTTGGCTCATCATGGTAAATGAGAGGTGGATGGTCATCAATAGGTTTGATAGTCACATGAGACTAGCGGGAATTTTTCCCTTAGATGTATATATAAGTCCAATGTTCCCATAGTTGTAGAATATCAAGACTTCTTTACTTCATTACATATATCAATATGATATCGTACAGAGTATATTTTCCAACACAAAACTTACTGCCCTGAAAGCGTCGCCCTCGTTAATCCGAGAAGAAATGGCGAGTCCTAAATAAATACAAAGCAACCCCGGATGTCGCATCCGCACCATTCAAATAACATAACATGATACAATATTTCACTCAGGTGCCTGAGTCCCTGATTCTGCTCCTTCCATGTAGACAAACTGCTACGTGTAATGTTATACCACGATAATTATTACTTAAGTTTATTCAATCTGAATTTCTAGGGGAGATTTTTCAGCTGAGTTCTTTATGGTCAAACCATTTGAAAATATAAGTTGCTCCCTTCCAGGAGCCTAAAAAGACCTTTGTCGGATGGCTATGAGTATCTAGAACTGGGGTAAGACTCCGGATGGGTAAAGTAAATTCCAGGAATTATTCAGGCGGCTCGGCCAGGCTACAGCTGTAAAACACGTATGCATCTGGATGATTGAAACGAAAATGCTACACAGCGAAGTCGCCATGTATAAGGAAATGGTTAAACTGTCCTTTGCAGCTATTGATGGTGACATGAATTAAGATGATGATTGTGATTGAGATAGATTTCTATATAGTTTATAATACATGATATGCTCAGGTTCATATACCTCGAGCCAAGCAACCAGATTATGTTCCTCTAGATCTAGATTCATCAGAATAATTACTTACTCAGTAAAATTCTCCTAGTCTCAGTTGTGTGTTTAGGATCTTGATTAGGTTTCTAGTAACTAGTCAATGATGTTTCTCATATCACTGAGACATAGTCATGGTTGATACAACAGGTACAAACGATGAGTCGTGTCTGTACATGACGTTGTGATATAGTCATGATCGTCTGAACAATATCAACTCATGAATGAATCATGTCTCTACATGACACCATGCCCCGAACGGGCAGCGCAAAGCCTTCGAAAAATATCTCTCGTAAGTGAGAGCTCTTCCAAGTAGCAGGTGTAAGAGTTGATGTAAATTCTTCTATATGAGTCTGGAGCGGGCTCATTCGAGCATTTTTCAATGGTAAGGGCTAATTTATTAAAATATACGTACTCTAATCACTTGTATAACTTGATAAGAGACACTGCACAGTAAATGTAAGGCGTAGATGAATCAGAATTGAATTGATGTCTCACAGTAGTGATATGAGTTGGGTCTTAGAGAAGTCCCCATCCACCAAACTGTATTCCAATTATCTACTCTATTCCAAACGTGTCTCACTCACTCGTATAACTGAGAAGTACTCTGTCAATGACTATTGTCATCAAAGAATGACTACTCCTTCACTTGACAGATCGTCTCTACAACTCATCGCTTACATTATTCGGTGAATAACAACTGACGCGTCTATTGTCCAGACAGTGCACGGCTCGCAACTAAGCGAGTCGTGTAATCCGATACTGGAGGTTCCACGTTCCATCTACTAGGACATGATCTGTTTCTCTTAAATAATTCATCTTTACCATGCTTCTTAGCAGCATGGAGAAAAAAAGTGAGTGCAAAGCTGAACACCTGTACGCAGTGTTGTTGTGGTTATGAGCTGTGAAGTGTATGGCAATTATGTCTCTGCTGTCCGTCGGTAGAGTTACACGGGCTCATGTGAAATGGTGGGTCGCTGAGATGGCGCGCTCACGCTGGGCGATGGCAGGATGGACACTGAGTGCGTATCACTATGGCCAATAGGTGTCAGTAGGTATCAAATGTGAACTCTTACTGACAACGGTGATCTAAGAAGGCGATGCTAGATGCGCATCCCGACGATTGATAATATCATCTAATGGATGATGGGAAGTATGATACTATTCTGATAGATTAATTCACTAAACTCGACAGGCCTAGATCTTCAAATACCATCGCCCACATGGGCTACGCTGTACAGCTTCTCCATGTTATATCACATGTTTCAGACCATTTTCTTGAATCAATTATTGGTTAGCAGCTATCTAGCTATGACATGTGAGCAGTCTCTCTTGTACTTCAAATGTCCCATTATACTTCACAGACACTCATATTTTAGATTTAATTTGCAGTGACCCCTATAAAGAATATTTGCTTACCTGTAATATTCGGACCTCCTCCATGAGTACCAACCAAAGAGAAATTCAAATCTCTGATTACCTAAGCGTGCCTTCGTCATCCATGCATACCAGCGCCCTGAGAAATGTCGGATTCGAACCAGCGATCGACTGTCTCGAGTGGAACATGTATCAAAGCTATCCAGACTCTACCTGGCAGACCGGCCAAGACGATGTACCACCGCACCATCCAACGATGGCGATGTTTATAGTTTCGCCTGCATTATCGCAATCGAAATCTTGGCGCACACGAAGATCAGTTTGGAAAGCTCCTTGCCAAAATTCAAAAATTCATACCCGCCGAGATTGTATCCATTCTCTGCATCATCTCGAAAACTTATCCTGATCTCTATCTCACCCGTTCCGAAGAACTGTCTACTAAATTTGTGTGCCACGCTTTGTGCCCTCTGTCGGGTATCAATATCGGCGTGGGCGTATATCTGGTAGGCAGTTGAAGCCAGAGAGATAAGACGAGAGGTGTGGTCATTAAAATGAGGATGCACTAAGTCGTACCTGAAAACTTGGTAAGGCCTTGGTGGGAACTTATTTCGCTGGGAGTGAAAGATCGAAATAGTGGAGAGTCTCGGATCATTGCCTCACTGGCAAACACTTTCGGTATTGCGAAATCTAACTGAACTTGGCTCTGGAAGCAATATTCTTATCCCAGGTTTGTAGGGACACCGCGTATAGGTGTTCAGCCTTTACCCTCTGTCTCAGACTTGCCAACGTGTAACTACTTTTCCATGGACATACCCCTGAACTGTTGCTACCTCCTATATCCTAGCAAAGTTTTTAGCGTTGATGCCTACTGCTATTCTCTTGTCACCTAGCCACCAACTTTAGGTGGTAAACAAACATGGCAACTAATTACTATCGCAGTGAATCCCGCACGAGTCTGAACCAATTGCTAATATCCCGGGCAGATCTTAGGTCCTTGCTGGATTTCTAATTTTATCTGATAAGCACTGACAACACTTTTTTCAACGCAATAAAGAAATAAACAGCCAATTACTTCGGAAGTTCGAAGGAAAAATATCTATGAACAATGTTCTCCGAGAATATATGCTTGAAATTTAATTCTGAGCCAAGATTCAATCGCGAACAAGAGCTCGATTAGCTCAACTCAAATGGCTGTCCACCTTGTGATAAACAGGTTGATTTTTGATCGAAAATTCAGTTAGTGGAGATTCCGATATTGGACAAGAAGCGAACATATCTTCGGCACCTACATCGAACTACGGATGGTCTAAGATTGGTCTGGGGATCATGTATAAACAGCCTAATTTTCGAAATAATGTAACGCCCCACGATGGATCAAACTTGTCAAAAAACTAGATCTACTGCCTACCTCTTCAATCGCTTCGCAAATTATCATTGTGCAACTAGTTGAGAAAATTACAAAAACAGTTAGGGCACGTCTGGAAAAAGTAACACTGAAAATGCAAAAAAGAGGTTATACTTATATAGTAAATACAGGATCCCCCCAATGACGAAAATGACATAGTGGTATGAAGAAGTCTTACATCAGGACAACAACATGGTCTACAATTTGATAAAGACCTAAAAGCGATGACAGTTTATAGTTTAGCTGCTTAGACACTGGAGCAAAGGCTTTGGAAGTTTTAGTGTTACAACATCAAAAGGGCTCTATGAATAGAAAGGCTTTTCATTATTCAACATACAGGTAAAGTCTAGTTACTTAAGCGCGACGAGGCCTGCACATTATCCGTGGTATTCATGCTTGCCTGGTCAGGCCCAACTTGTGTAAACTTCACAAGATTGCATAGTCCAAACTGCCCAGTACATAAAACCCAAAAAAATTGGTAAAGATCGGCTTTCCCATGCCTTTTTCATAGTCGAATCAGAAAACCTTTTTCAATAATCTCAAAAATTTTGGTGTCCCGACGTAGCATACTTGTGAACCAACCACATGCAGACTAACTTGTAAAACGCTCTGTGGGAAGCTCTACAAGCTCAAATATAGTCTCAGACTCATTGTTATACGAAAATGTAAACTTATATTTATACAAAGCATAAATGTAGCCTCTGAGTAGCTAAAAATCTTCATCTGAAACACGCTAGGGGGATGAAAAAAATCATACCAACATATTTGCCCCTATCGTTTTAACTACTCATTCAGCTCATCCGCCAGTCTGTCGAAGTACTATTTACAACGGTCTGCTTGAAGCAGCCTGTCATTTTAAGGTTCGTCGAATGGATTTATATCAGGGATTGATTAGTCAAGTTTGAGGATCGATCACTAGGAGTTTCCTTGTAATCCGTGCTCTGTATATAGCAGCACCCTCTGATAATGTGAACGAGCTACCCCTCCTTCGGTAGCATTAGAAAAAGAATGAGTGGGCGCAAAGCTGCGTCATTCATTCCATTCGCTTCTGCCCCTCTCGTGACCTAAATTTTCATCATCACCTTGGATTCGACGTCGATTATCACATTAATCCCATGTGCCTTCTCAAAGCGTGAAGTCTACATAATTACTCAACGAATTGCTTTCTCATTGTCTACCCACATTTTATACATCTGGCTCACGTACCTGTCCCCATAGGACATCACAGTAAACCCGACCTTAGCTTGATTATTGAGCTGAAACAAGTTGTGGCTCTGAGATACAATAAGCAAGTGATTACTCATTGCAATGCTTGGCCTCCATTCCAATCGTCGGACCTCTGTAAATAGTAGGCTTTCTCATGTTTTCCCTTACATTTTCAATCTTGTATCCTAAGGAAGGGACCAGAGAAGACCGGTGTGCTTAGAAGACCTTCAGGCAATAGGTCCTCCATCGACGAATTTAAATCCGAATGTTTTGACGATGAGACTACGGTAGTGGAACCCGATCAAGGCAACGGTGAATAAACATCTTATATTCCCAGAAAATGGACTGATTCCTTATAGTCCTCACTCACATTATCTCACAGCTACGGCCTGGTGCAGATTTAAGCCGAGTCGTGCTTCCAACCTTCATACTAGAGCCCAGAAGTATGTTGGAAAGAATTACAAAGTAGGGAAAAGATCCTCTTAGATATATGTTTATTGACGGTACGAGTAGTTTTATGGCACATCCAGAATTTCTTCTACCAGTCCCTCAAATTGAGGACCCCGTCCAAAGATTCGTTTCGGTAGTCAAATTCTATCTCTCGGGCTGGCATATAAAACCTCCGTAAGCTATTACGTCTCAACACAATGAAGGAGACTGATAAACTTGAAAGAGGTGTAAAAAAGCCATTAAATCCTATTCTGGGAGAGACCTTTACATGTTACTGGCAGTTTCCTGATAATACAAAAGGTTATTATATTTCTGAGCAAACATCTCATCATCCACCAAAATCCAGCTACTTTTACATGGCACCTGAACACCACATTCGAATAGACGGTTGTCTCAAGCCACGCTCAAAATTTCTTGGAAATTCAGTTGCATCTATGATGGAAGGTATTGCCATTTTACGATTTCTTAATAGGGGGGATAATGGGAAAGGAGAACGTTATATTGTTACTCAGCCAAATATGTATGCACGTGGTATTCTCTTTGGTAAAATGAAGTATGAGCTAGGTGATCACAGCTACGTACGATGTCCAGAACTAGGAATAAGTGCAGATATTGAGTTCAAAACAAAGGGCTACTTCAGCGGGGCTTATAATATGATCGGTGGCACAATAAAGAACGATATTTCTGGAGAAATTTTATATGAAATAACTGGACTTTGGAGTGGAGAAATGACCATAAAAGATACAAAGGTAAAATCTGAATCCTTACAATTTTTTAGACAATTTTTATGCTAATGTACTTACCAGACGGGGAAAAAAGAAGTGCTTTTTGACGCTACAAGGGCGAGGCATTCTCCCCCCTTAGTCCGGTCCCTCGAAGAACAATGTGAGCGTGAATCGCAGAAACTGTGGCATAAGACTGTCCAGGCAGTTAAAGAATGTAATCATGAAGTAGCGACCGACGAAAAAACAAAAGTTGAAGATATGCAGCGAGATGAGGCTGCAAAACGTGTGGAAAATGGGGAAGTTTGGAGTCCTCGCCTCTTTAGACCTACCAAGGAAAATGCTGGTGTCTGCGAAGAGATTGAAGATCAGCTCGATTGGATTCTTAATGCATGCATGCAAGTTTTAATGGGTGCCCATATTTCGATGAATCTACTAATGGCTTAAATAGTGATGGGTCCACACCTGAAGAACAAATCGAACAAATCCTTGCCATAACGCCAATTCTTCCTGGTCAAGAAACTTGTAGCAATAGTCCTCGAGCCGAAAATTGCGACGAAAACCCTTGTTCGTTTACAACCCCAGATTACAGCGGCATATCGAAACAAATTGGAAAAATTATCTTGGATGATAGCAGTCATCACTCTGATCTGTTTGTTGAACCACAAACATCTGACACCAAAGTAAATAAAACCTAGGATGACGATAAAAACTCGAAAGACCCAGAAATTAACCTGCTAAAACTGCACAATGCGTAATGCGCAAAATTAAGTGTTTCACTTGATATGGAAGAAAGTGCACAAGAAATTCAATCATCTAGGACAGAACGCATAACGGAAGTGGTGAATCTATGACGAGTGTTGATCGATGATCCAGCGCGGAGGGATACTTTTCCCGGGAGCGAAAGAATAATATCACCCTGTTATCTGATTAGGAAAAGGTTAAACCGGGACATTTTCAAAAAACAAATAAAAGGCGTTCTTAAGTGTTTTCGGTGAGAAGGAAAACGAATATGATATATCAGGGGTTTATGGGTTATACAATGCTGGACTTTCTAATATGTTTGCATTTCTTTTTATGTTTAAATCATTTTTCGGCGCTTTGAGAACTAATTGATTCATTTCATGAAGTGCAAACGATTGATATTCACACTGATCTACGTTGCAGACAGGCGATTTTTAAGCCTGAAATTTGCAGATTTTTTTTCACTTGCAAAACGTATTGTTCTACTAACTAATAATAGCAAGCCTTGAAGTATACTATGAGCCTATTTTCAAAAAAGGGAGAGATTTCGACTAAGATTTATCAAAGGTAGAGCTAACATGTGCCACTGAAACTCTTATATATTCATTCACTCCATAACATTATTAAAAAATCAATGCGCAATAGCCTCTAGCGCAAATGGGACAGCACAAGACTATGTCGTATCAAATTAAGAACTCGAATTGTCTGCGACATAAAGTATGCGCTCTTTTTCCACAGGTGCTGAGTTTGGATGTTCAAATGGTAACTAAATCAGACATAAATGCTGTGCCTAGATTGGTAAAAGATAATACAGAAATAAAGTAATAGTTCCCCGAAAAATAAAGAACCTGAGAGGGATACAATAAATTTAATCGGAATTTTAAATGGTTCCGTATCTTACTGACACTCTAAGTAGATGAGTTATTTACTGATAATGTTGGTAATATTTCGTCCTACTAGTTTGATTCATCTGGGTCATTTCGATACGTAATCAGAGGTAAACCTAGTAAGGGTGGAATGGTACAAGTACGAGATAGCTTTCTACCTCAAGGAACTCCAACAACTGCCCCTTAATTTATTCTCGTAGCCTTTATGAGAACTAATTATCATCTATCTACAGTGTCACCTCATATATGTAATTTGTTGTTGATTATGCTAATTGAGCCTGTGATAATCTAGCACATTGGGTTCCTCCCTGACCAATGTCACACCTTGTAAAAAGCTAATTTCCTCTTTTATTGCTTAAAAAGCCTCTGATAGAATTCCCATGAGAAATGGCTAATAAGCTTATAATATAACCGTGAAATTCGGCCTCATTTTTTACGGATCCTTCTTGCCCATAAAAATACAAATGGTAGCAATGGAAACTGCGTGCGCGGGAAAAAGTCTCAAAAAACCTGCAGCCCCAGCCAGGCGAGGCCTAGACACCGGGCCAACATGAGGTGCGCATATTCATCTATATCTCCCTTCTTTGTAACATTGGAGGCCAACTTGATCCAATCCACCACCCCCGTATCGGGTGCCGGGTACGTTCCTGAAACTCATCGGATACAGTCTTCTCCAAGATCAAAGATTGGTGATGGGAAGTGTTATGCACGCTGATTATGACAAGCATGAGCTCAAGGTTTATAAGGTAGTAAAGTTAAAGAGCAAAGCTCTGTCTACGTATTACACATATAATAAGATTTAAGCAAGTAGTAATGAAAATGTCATTAGTGCTTTCATAACGCAAAACCTCCGTCGGTATCCTAATCCAACTCCACATCTCTAGACTACATCCGTAGTCACATAACAGGAAGAGCTTTGACCTCAATATTTGATTTGACAGTATTTCGCTATATGATAGTGGTGAAAGGGGGATGTGTAGAGAGATGAAACGCTGCAGACCGCGAACGCGATTTGGAATCCTCGACGAAGTGATGACTAGTGTGTTACTCAATCTCGGTTCTGTAGACTCTAAATTGAGAGCTGGAGATTCTTAGGAGACACCGCGCACAGGTCATAGGTTTCGTCTCCCGCCTTTTTGACGGTGGAAACTTGATTTAATGTAAAGTTTTTATCACTTTGTTGTGTGTATGTAGTTAAGCTGTAACATATTGTAGAGAATATGCCAGGTATGGCTTAGTCAGTAGTAAACCTGTAATCCAGTCTACCAACAGGGACCCAGGATGGCAAAACAGAACACCTGTACGCGGTGTCCTCTACGAACCTGGGAGTGAAATATTCTCCCAGAGCCAAGTTCAGACAAATTTCGCGATATCAAAGAAGTTGGCCCACGAGGCGATGATTCAAACTACTCCGCCATGTCATTTTTTTCGCTCCCAACGAGTTCGACTCCTACCCAGTTCTCATCAAGTGTACAAGTACGACCTAGTACATCCTCATCCCAATGACCACACCACTCCTCGACCTTCTCTGGTCTCAGTTGACCACCATATACACGCCCACGCCGATATTTACACCCGCAGTAAGAAGTAAAGCGTGGCGCACAAATCTGGGAGATAGTTCTTTGGGATGGACGTGAGAGGGATCAGGACAAGTTTACAAGATGATGCAAAGGAAGTATATAACCTCGAAGGGCATGAAATTCCGAATTTTGGCAAGGAGTTTTTACAAATTGAGCTTTGTGCGCGCCAAGGCTTCAGTTGTGAGAGTGCAGGCGACACTATAAAAACTGCCATGGTTGGATGGTGCGGTGGTACATCGTCTTGGCCGGTCTGCCAAGTAGAGTCTGGATAGCTTGGACACATATCCCACTCGAGACAGTAGATCGCTGGTTCAAATCCGGCAAAACACAACCACATTTCTCGCGGCGCTGCTATGCATAGATGACGAAGGCATGCTTGGATAACCAAAGGTTTTTAATTTCCCTTTGGTGGGTACTTACGGAGGAGGTTCGACTATTTGTGTAAGCGAACATACCTCATGGTGGTATTTACGAGTGAAATCCAGAGTATGAGTGTCTCAAACGTCAAAAGAGTCATCCAAAGTGCATGCATAGCGCCAGCCATGTGTCATAGCTATATAGCTGCATACACATTAAATGATTAAAAAAAGTTAAATCAACAAGCAAGTGCCATGTGCGAGGCTGTTCCTGTTTCTTCGGCTGCTACAATCAGATCTGGATCTAGATTCGTTCCTCTGATCACCAAAGAAGAATCATTATAGTGATCCGAGGTCGTCTATGCAGAAAGCAGGAACCTGCTGGTCTCTGCGTATTTCAGATATTGTGCTAATCCAGGAACCGTGGATTTTGTCCGGCTTTACTAGCAAAGTTACTAAAACGTATCTAAGTTTTAAATATATTTTCTTTTTATTTTTATTCTTTTACATTTTTATATAACTACCATCTGTTGATCATGGGGTCCGACAAGGGGCTGACATTCATGTATATTTGAATCTTCGAGCGCAAGATTATTAGATTCTGACCATCTATTGCTATGTTGGGTCTGTGTAGGCGTCAACACGTCGGGTAGTTTAATTTAGACTTGGCTAACCGGAATGCGAAGAGCTCAAGTGCTGTGCGCGGGCACGACGTTAACTAATATAAGTAAAAAAAGTGGAAAGCCGCAAACTTGTACAACGGCAAGAGAATAGGTAGACTTATGATGAAATATAGAGAGTCACCTTTCCAAATCCACCAAAACCTTAGCAGGGCCCAGAGCAGCATTGCCATATAAGTAATAAGCGAGCACATTGGGCTCAATGATTACTTACACCGAAGTAATGTACCATGAGTAGGAGAGCCACGTTACCAATGTAAATATATGTCCCAAAATAAAAAGCATATGGTAATGTCTTGTCAAAAATGGATAAAGGGAAGAGGCGAGTTGCTAGGAAAATCGGTGACCCGATGCTTAGAAGCTATGGTAAATAACGTCAAAGATATGACTAGATTTGGATGGTGAATTCAAAAGAAAGGATGGCTAGAGCAGTTTCGAATGACCGGGGAAATCAAGGCGTTAATCGGGCGAAGAGGGGAATATCGTAACGCAGGACAAGGATGGACTCCACACTGGCAACAACAGTGTGAGTGCACTCCCTAAAGATGTTAAGTTATGAGGAATGTGTCAGAATACTTCAAGTGGACGGGTTTCTTGACGAGCTTGTTGTAACAATATTGGTAACAATTAATTCTTCTCACCAGAGCTCAAAGCAGTGTCGGAACTCAGCTAAGAAGCGAGCATATCGGACTCAATTCTTACCTGTGCAGAAGAAAAGTACCCGGAGTAGAAAAGCCAAGCTGTCAATGTGGATATCCGTCGCAAAACGTCAAGCACATGGTGTTGTCGTGTCCGCAATGGGCAAGTGGAAGAGGCGACTTTCTCCGACGAGCTTAAGACAGGTCATTTGAAGCCATAATGAACAACCCACAAGATGTGGCTAGAATCACATAGTGGATACTAAGCAAAGGGTGGATAAAACAGTTTCGACTTGCAGGGGAAGTCGAGGTAGCAATGTCGGAAAAAGTAAATAGATTTGGAAGGGGAGAGGACGAAATCCACACGGGCTGAACAGTGTACACTGCACTTCCTAAAGGTAAACTAAACAAATTGATAGGAATATAAAAAGATAGGATCCGGGGGTTTTCACTAAATTCGTTTCCTCCTTTGTAAATAATGCAGATAGTCACCTGCATGGACCCATAGGGTGCCTGATCGGGTTAATTGAAATCAAATTCAAATTAATTCTTCTCTACCAAAACCCCCCTAAGGAACAACTAATATCTAAACTGAAGAGGCATTTGCTTATTCCCAGCACTAATCTACATAAGCAAATGTTACCAAAATAGGTCACGTGATGTAACATGGAACTTGAATCAGATAGAATGATATTGCATTTAGTCGATATTTTTAAATTTTATGGAGGAAATAATGACCCCTTAATGAGTGAGGGGTCATTATTTGTTAATAGATATGATTAATTGTATGAGAAGAAAGGCGGAACTGTATTTCAGGTAATAACTGTCACAGACCAGCTTTATGATATTGTGTTGCACCTGGCCAACCGCCCCATGAGTACACTCAGGAATAGGGTTAGTGCGTTGCGATGATTATAGTGTTGCAATAGCAACAGTCACTAGTCAAGATACTGATTAGTTGCTATGTTACAGCTGTGGGCTTTGCACCCTTGATTGTAGTGACCGGTCTTAGGTACTTAAGGAAGCTCATGGGCTGTGTTTAGACTGTAGCTTCTTGTCTTGTAATTGAACTACTCTCTTGACCTCATCTTCGTCCTCGTCTTAGTCCTCGTCTTCGTCTTCGTCCTCGTCCTACTCTCCGTCCTAACCTTAGCCCACCGTCCGCGAGCCCTGACAATTACCAAGACATTTCACTTCTACATAGAGAAGCTACTCTGCACTACATACATTATAAATTATGTCGCGTGTTCAGTTTACTCTTGACTATTTTCCTGGATTATGTTGGTGTCTGACATACGCTTAGTGTAGTTGTACTACGCCAACATAACTTTCATCAAATAAAGATAAGACTATAATGGCGAAGAATCCAATCAGAAAGCTAAGGGCTTTTTACTATCTAAATTAGAAAGTTTGATAGACACCTGCATGGGTCCATAGAGCGCCAAAACATGATAATGAAATCAAATTCAAAAAAGAAGAAAAAAGAAATAGGGCTCTCTAGTCAATATTTAAAACGTAATACCATATCTCACGTATCTTTCTTTAGAGAAACTAAGAGCTCTAAGTTTGGAGGATTGCACCTTCGATTTATAAAGTCACTTCTCTGTCCTATGATTGAAGTCAGTCTTTGCTTCATATTATCAAAATTTTTGTACACGCTTCTATGACATAGCTACAACATATCATATTATTCATAAATATAATTTCGAGCAAATTCATGGAGTGAATTTCACTTACAATTTCAAAATCTCAATAGCATCATCAAACGCTTTGATAATAGGATCATACAGGGTTTGATGGTCCTTGTAAGCACCAGTCCAAAGCTCTTTATCTGAATAGAATAAAATCCCCCAAAATCTCACTACAAGTTCCTTGATACCCTTAAATTTTGGCGAAAACTTAGGCAAAAATTCGTTTTCGAATTTTTCTTCTTTCATTTGAATACTCTTCCAAAAACCTATGTCCTCGGTTTCCTTTTTATGCCATTTGGATATAACATTTCTATGTGATGTTTTATTGTTTGCCCACCCATAGCATATGCACATCCATAGTAAGACATAAAAGATTGATTCTAGGTCGTGGCAATATGTATGTTTGACAGATAGCCAGGGTAGTGAAGGGCTCTCACTTAGAATCTCAATAGCCATGAACTCTAATGCGCCCATCTTTATTTGCTCCACTGGCTCTGCATTTCCTTCTATAAGAAAAGTAGCTTGGTCCAGATTGATAAACGTACCGCCAAGTTCGTTGACATTATCAGAATGCGTCAATAATATACTGTTTAACGAGATTTCTCGATGTATAATCTTGGCGTCGATGAATAATGACCTGTGCACCTTGATGACGTCTTTGAGACCAGTGATAACGTCAAGTTCTGATCTAAACTTTTGGGCCGGCCGTCCACAGGGCGTTATCGCAATAGCAGTAAACTCACAGTCTTTTAAGTTCGCGGGTTCAATATTTAGATTTTTTAGACCCGGCCGGACACGTTTATTTTCAACCTTCAAACCAGAAACTCCGACAGCGGTAGTTGTACATTGTGGATTTATGATAGTACTAGGAGTCGCGCCTGACCTCAAAGTGTCATCAGTCGAAACACCCTCAGTATTACTCGATATTTCAATCCTTTTCATCCGATCTTTCGCTTCATACTTCTCTATAGTTTTCAGTTTCTCTCCGATGTTCTGGTTATATGATTGTGAATTAATCTCTAGAATAATTGGCATTCTTTCTATTAAGTCTTTATATTCTTTCTTCTCGTTTACATTAGTCAAAGAACCATGTTCTGTGGTGAGGGTTGCTACTTTACTCCCAGAGAATACTTCGACATTGTAATGACAATCTCCTTTACACCCTTGAAGAGATCCTATTTTTTAATGGAGTAGCGAGTTTCAGGTTCGGAAAAGATTATTTCTCTCTTTCGCTTTCGGTCCACTGTGCTACTCAAGCTCTCCTTGAAGATTTCTCCGGTCTCATCAAATTTTTTAAGTAGTGGAGCTAGGAGCTTTTCATATTGACAACTGTCTTTCACCATCCTGTCGACTATTATTGCGTCTTTGAATTGGTCATTTACTTTTACCGGATTTTGTGATTTGATAACCTTTGCTGTACCAGCTGTACTTTCCGCAGCTTTCAGAGCCTTAACCTCGGTTGTGTCCCCAATAATTTTCTAGGATAATTTCATAACATAGCTATTGTTTATAGCTTGATAGCAGCTTGTTCCCCTGGAGACGAGTGCTCTCTGTTGATTGATAGTAACAGGATGCAAGATAAGCTCATGCTGCTCCTCGGGCTTAGAAACTTTGAACACGACAATTTTCAGATTAGGATGGTATTGAATATTTGGGACAAGACCATGCTCTTCATTGCTCATAAGTTTATAAGCCGCTAACACATGTATGAGCTTGTCTGAAAACTTGCCAGTGTTAATGTATGAGCACGAGTATCGTCCTGACCTATCATACATCCAGAGCTCCAGATTCTTTCCGGAAAAGATGAATCCATGGACGAAAAGACGAAGAGGTTGAGCTAGGAGTAGTTTGTGAATGTAATCGCTGAGCTGAAGGGAATATTCCAGAAATTTTGATTTCGTAGACTCAGTGAACTTTCCAATCACAAGAATATTGCGCCAGTGATGATAATCACTAGAAGGAAGATTTCGTTGCTTGAGGAAAAAATTATATTGCCGTTTGGACTGACCAACAGTAACCTGTCCTGCTGCAGAGATTTGGGATTTGGTTCCTTTGTAGGCATGCATAAATGTTTTTCTTGGAGCTACAAATGCCTTTGTCGGCAAAGTTTCGAGTGGTTTGTAGAGTGAACAGATTAGATCTTGTTCGATAACTTTTATCCATTTACAAATATTTGTTTTAGTTAGGACAGCGGGGAATTTGAACTTTGCTTCGGCAGAACGCCTCATGTATTCTTGGGAAAGGAATTCGCATTGAGTTTTCAGGCGCGACGCTTCAAAAAATTTCTCCCAGGAGCATTTAGTATTAAAGATTGACGAGACAGAGAGTTCTCTGCGCAGTATGTCCTCCGAATTTTTCATCGGCTGTCTGACCGGAAGGTGTGTTTTTCCAACTAACTTGGCTATATACTTTATGGTTAGATATTCATATTCTATATCTGAAGCTTTCTTCATAGTCTCGAGATTTTTAGCGAGCCGTATGACTGAATTAAAGACCTCAACATCAGTCGCGTCGTTCAGAATTACGGCGATCAATGGTTCAAATGGGACCAGATAAAACTGGGTAGATTTCATCCAGTTATTTATTGTTATCAGTTTAGAGCCAAGTTTTTCCAACCAACAACTTAGATGGTACCTGACAGTGACATTTCCAACAAAATCTCTGATGAGGTTCCTGATGGGAATTCGACATTTATTTGGATCTTTGGGCTTTTCAAAGACTGCAACACATGGAGTATCGAAGTAAGTACTATATAGAAGTCTGAATACTTCCAATATTTCGTCCAGGGGATTTCTAGCGAGGTGTTCTTCTATATCCTCGTGGGGAAACATGATGAGATGTCTATATGGACACAGAATTTTGTAGATGTTCTGAACCTGTAGTTATACAGAATGATTAAGTAATGAGATGATAGATGGTAAGGACAGATGAGTATAATTTTCTGACGCTAGATTTCATGAACTTTTTGTTCTTGTGCAGGCAATTACTACCCCAACACAACACTATTTGACCAACCTACCAATCAGATTCCCCCATATACCCTTCGTAACAAAACAAGAAAGGGGTGCTACACAAGGTATGGCAAGGTTCAGATGGGAACCCAGTATGCTAGATGATCTCAGACTGAAGTAACACATTAAAACAGGGGGAGAATTGAACTTTACATCTAGGTGTTAGGTTGATTATTCAGATCTAAACAAGTGGACTAAGTGAAGACAATGGTTCATTGTTACTTGACCTAATCCCCGATGACTGAGTCCTTGTTTGTTTTGTTTCTAGTTTGTTCATTAACATGCTAGGTTAAGTGACTACCGTTGCATTCCTATTGGAGCTTAAGCACGAGTGGGGCCGGGCCGGATCAGGTTAACTACCGTGAAGTACAGATATACCTCGTCCCACTTAAATGACTGGACCACTTCAGACTTCACCTATGTGTTGAATCATACCAAGCCTAACCGTCCGGAAACCCGCTGTACACACGCCGTAGCGCAAATTCCTCTTCAGCCTCGGCCACCACGCGCCCGAGTCCTTGACATCTTCATTGACTCCGAAATCTGAGTGTAGTCCCAGATCTCATTGTTGCCCTAGCCTCGCAACTTCATATGGTACTGTTGGGTTGTTGTCGTCATTGGGGATTTGTGTGATCCCCTCGGTGTATATTCCCTTTTCTTCCTCCTTTGTATACGTCCTGTTTCCATCATGACTTTCCTCATTAGGGCGTGTATAGTTAGGTGATTGGACGAGTATGGAGGTGGATTGCAGGTGTAGAATCGACTGAGAAATGGATTGTCGCAAATATATAAGGAGTTTGAGAGATGTCAGATGTTTGAATACGACCCCTAAACAGACCTAAATCCATTCGTGAATCGTTTGTTGGTGGTGATGAGTTTTTAAACGACTTTGTTACGGCTGTGAAAAATCTGCCGGCTGATTTTTCAAGCCAAAAATCCATCATATTAACTTCATCCCACACTTTTTCGTGACTGGGTCTCGGCTCTGGGAGAATATTTAACTCCTAGGTTCGTAGAGGATACCACTGATAGGTGTTCAGCCTTCGTCCTCCAACTGGGTCCTTGTACTAGAACCAGTGGGGATTTTCGACATAAGTTGTATTGCAGCGCCAAACAACCTATAGATACCGAACGTACCTGTTAGTATAACTTCAGAGGATAGAACCAGGGCGGTCAGTGCCGAGTGGGTCTTTGTCCAAATCGCCATTACGACCGGCATAAATCCAATTCAGGTCCGACCCCATGGGACGTGTCAACCTGGGGCGCCGTATCAAAACTGGCAAGCCATTTTCGACCGGGACTCCGCCCCTCGTGCGGGCTTCCGCCTCTTCGATGAGTCTGGTAAGGCTACCCATCACAAGTCTCGTCGCCAAATTGAAAAGTGCAAACGCTGTTTGGGCTTCCTGTTGTGATGTGATTATTGCATTTACTCTAAATTTATCTCTGCCAAGTGCCAGGGATACAACACATCTATGCAAGTACTGCACAGCTCTACATGGCTATTATTACGATCGACTATTGAGGCGCAGCTCTATACAATGGCATAGAGTAATGTGGGATAGTATTGCATGGAATTATGATTACAGTACTTCATGCATAGACGGTGATGTACTGTATAGCGGGTACCAAACATGTGTATATAAGTCCTATCTACTACTGTGATATGTATGTTGAAATTGGTGCTTCCAATTATGGTAAAGACAGGGATGTGTAGAAGACACGTCACTAATCTCCCATTAATTGTGAGGTTAGTATTAATGCGCTTTGACGTAAATACCAACCACTAGATTTTATTATTACAAAATATAGTTTATATAGCACTCTGTGTCCTAGTGGGAGTAATTAACAACTCTCCACAATAGATTTACAGACTCCTTTACTTTCCCACTCGCTTCACCAAGTGATACAATCTGTGCCTAACAGCCACAAGCTTTTGCAAACCAATCCGCTCAACAATGTAGAATAATATAACCAAGCTATTCATCATATCGTCAAGCTCTGATAATCCTCATCCACCCTCTGCACTATCCCTAGAATATTCAACATCTCATACCTACTCATACCTTAATTACAACAGGTTATGAGCCCGGGCTCTTCCACTGCGGCACTTAGTAAGACTCAGTGGTAATCTAAGAAATATGGGAAAGGATAGCAGACACGTGCTAGGTGAGGGCATCTCTTTCTCGAAGTGGAATAGCAGTCTTCAGGCAAAGCTTGCCAAGCGAAATCTTCTCGAACATGTTTTCCATGACATCGAAGAAATAGAACCAGCAAATGCTCCTCAGGCACCAGCAGTCAAGAGTGCCGAGCAGACACCTCAGCAGTACCAGGAATTAGTGGCAAAGTATAGAGCAGAAAGAGCAGCATGGAAAATAGGTGAAATCGAGGCTAGAAACATTATAATTGATCGATTAAGCCATAGCGTGTGTCCCCGTACATATGAAAAATATACAGCTAAGCAATTATATGAGAATGTGGCAAAAACTCGATCAGAATCGGCAGCGGCACCATATGCATCAGCCCTTGAAATACTCCTCCAAACAAGGTTTGCTGGATCAGCAAACGACTACTGTGATCGCTTCTTAGCAAACCTACAGAGTGTAAACAGTGCAGCTGATGCTCTTGTCTCTATACCATCAATCTTGGATCCTGAACAGTCTGAATATGCGGTTCTTCCAGGACAGGCTGCAGTTTTGTTTACACTTGGCACTAAAGGGTTAGGATGGTTAGATAATTGAAGAGACTCAAAGGCTCTTGAAAGCGACAACAAGTACTCCAGCCTTGAATTTATGATGTCATCGCTCAGAGCTGTTGCTGCAAATAGGACCCAAATAACGCATCGAATAACTCCAGCAGCTGAGGCCGAGATAGATGATAAAAATAATCCAGACGACACATGCACGCGATGTAGACACAAGCACAAGAATAAGGAGTCCTTTAAACAGCATCCAGAGCTAGCTAGACCACGCCGTAGTTATCAGGGACACAAATATTGGAAAGGAAAAGGAAAAGCTCGAGCTCTTGCTGGCAATTGCAGTAGTGACTCAGACTCCGAAGGAACTGCCATAGCTGCCATATGTGCATTTAGTTCCAATAAAATTCCTTCACTATATGATACAGGTGCATCGCACCATTTTTTACCTTCTAAACAAGATTTTGTCAGTCTTCGTGAGCGTTCTAGACCATTTAAATTTGATCAAGCAATAGGAGAAATGTCACTTAAGTATCAAGGCACTGCGCACTTAAGAATCGGAAGCTTGAAGCTCAAGCTTCAGGATTGTCTGTACTCCCCAAACTCATCCTGCAACATTATCTCAGCCGTGAGACTACAGAGACTTGGAAATATAATTCCAGACTTTAACAATACGACGCTCGTTCAGAAACAAAATGGGCAGCCAGATAAACCTGTCGCACGACTCATTTCTAGAAACGATGTTCTATATATTCATCCTCTAGACCCGTGTAGTCTCACAGAGAAACCTAATGCTGTGGCTGCTCCAGGGGTTGCACGAGTTCCGAAGACTTCAAGTGCACAACGCTGGCACCAACGTCTTGGACATACAGGTCAAAAGATCCTGAAGAAAACGGCAGACTGCTCGCTTGGACTAGAAGGTAAAGATATGAGCGACCTTAGCACCTGTGAAACTTGCCATCTTAGCAAGGCGCAATGTTTTGTATCTAGAGAGCCCAGACAAACTCCAAATAAGCCACTCGATGAGGTCTTTATTGACACAGTGGGAAAAGTGACGGAATCATTCAATAAACACCAGTATGCTGTCATCATAACAGATGCTAAGACACGAATGCGTTGGGCGCTAGCCACCCAAACCAAGGATCAGAGAGCATTTCGATTGGTCCAGTGGATAGAACACCAGGAACATCAATACAGAAAACGAGTTCGCATAATTTTCCGAGATGGTGGCTCAGAGTTTATTCGAACCAAGGAGTACTGCGAAAATCATGGTATACAAACAGATGTTTCAGCACCTTATGTCAGGGGTCGGAGGACAGGAGACTTATAAGGAGAGGGATTGGGGCGGAGATTGAGACGAGGACGAGATGTAGACGAGGACAGAGACTAGGACAGAGACGAAGACTAGGACTTAGGACAGAGGCGAGATTCTAAGATGTAGATAAAATACAAGACAAAAAGCTACAGTACAAATACATCCCAAGAGCTTCCTTAAGTACCTGAGACCGGTCACTACAATCAAGGGTGCAATAGCCCACAGCTGTTACATAGCAACTGATCAGTAATTGACTAGTGACTGTTGCTATCACAACACTGTAACCATCGCAACGCACTAACCCTATTCCTGAGTGTATTCATGGGGCGGTTGGCCAGGTGCAATAAAATATCACAAACTGGTCTGTGACACCTTATACATCAGAGCAAAACGGTGCATCGGAAGCTGCAAATAAGGTCATCCTCAGAAAAGCTCGATCACTTCTAATTGACGCCGGTATGCCAGCTAGATACTGGCCTTGGGCAGTTCAGCATGCATGTTATATCACAAACAGGCTATGCTGTCTTCGAACTAGTAAAGTGCCATTTATCGACTTTCTCGAAGGGTTGGGACAGCCACACAATGAGAAGATCGACTTCACAAATTTGCCTCGTTTTGGATGTAGAGCTTACAAGTTTATTGACCCTAAACCAGGGAAATTTGATCCAAGAGCTGAAATGGGCTGGTTTATTGGATTCCAGGTTAATACAAATAAGAATTTTTTAATCTATCACCCCCATTGGACACCAACACATGGATGGAAGTGGATTGAAAGCTACACTCCTCATGTAACTTTCAATGAAGATGTTGTTT